GGAGGAGGAGAGAGTGTAGGTAGATGCTACGCAAGTCTACCGGCACTATAAACCCCTGCGTAAGTCACCGTCCCTGCTCCCATTGCTGCTGCAACTGTGAGGCACACGGTGGACATCATCGAAACCGATGGTCGAACTGTCAGAGAGTACGCATCCCCTTGAAGGATACATGGCATGGACGTTTGATAAGACCATCATTCGATTTTGCGCATCCTCTGCCTTACTTTTTACTTTGTTTGTAGAACAACGTACCAACTTGGGTAGTCCGATATGCAGCATTTTCTCATAGCTCTAGAAAGCAGCATTTTTAAGCGATTAAATGAGGTTTATATTACATTAAATATTCTATCTGTACAGAGGATCGTGTTTTTTTAAAAATACCAACTCTGAAGCCCGCAACTAATTATTGGAAAAATGCGGCTTTTTTTATAATTTCAGTTCTAACTGTGCGCCTACCAAAATTGCCCCGATAACTGCAATATTGCGAATTGCAGGATTTTGAGGTTTTCAAAAAACCCGCATTTTTAGATCGAACAGACAGTTTCTTTGCGTCGACCCACCGTGACTCTCCAGCCCGATGGCAGCTTCTTCTCAAACAGCCATTACCAGTCATGTAGGCTTAATGCCATCGTATGTAATGAACATGTAGGCATAGGAGTGAAAAAAGATCGGCTGATTAATGGTCAATATCAATCGCAAGGCACTCAATTTGGTCTGTATTAAACGTTTCACTGGTCCAATCTGACATTATATTTACTAACTTTACGATCTAAAAGAGACTCTCTGTTACCTTTGACGTGCCTGTTTGTGAAACATAAAAATACGTTTTTCTTAATTTCAGATTCTTTGTGAATCGCGTAAGAGCGTGAGATTAATGATTTTGTGTATGAATTGTGGGCACGTTTCAAGCATACACTTCTCAGCGCAAACTCATGTATAGCGGTGCATATCCTATGGAAGTCCCCAAAGTGTTAGATTTAAATCTCAAAACTGAGAGGCAAATTCTTGACTCGCGACTTTCGATTGTCAGTGTAGCACTGGCCAGCCCAGGCAAAGCTCGTGCAATTTCGTTTAAATGACGGAGACAAAGGTTTTATTCTTTTCCAGGCTTTGATTCCATTGGAAAGACTTCTGCCAGCAGAATTGAAAAAAGACATAAAAATTAGGATTGCATAAGATCTTGCTGTTAACAACCGTCCACACTATTATGTATCGAACGGCAAATTCAATAAAAAGTGATTTTTCACTGTTTTCAGTTTAATCTTTTTTTGGGGTTTAAGGTGGTGCTTAACGAAACTTTCAAAAAAAATTGACTTTTTTTCGGACATCATAAACGGCGTCAGGAAAACCTCAACCGTACAGACTAATTTACCAAGTAGACTTACAGCACTATCGTTTGGAACTAAACAGCCCTGAACAAAAAGGGGTAACACTTGTCATTGTGATTTAGGGACTACTCGTGTCTACGTATTCTAGGGGAAAATACGGGTGTAGAAAATGCAATCTTATTTTACCAATAGAAGCGAAAAGACGAGTCTTAGGAAGCAGTCTTGAAGAAGAAGACACGATCGCCGGGACAAGAGCTTTATTAGCCTGACGTTTCGGATTCCTGCTCGAATCCATCATCATGATGATGGATTCGAGCAGGAATCCGAAACGTCAGGCTAATAAAGCTCTTGTCCCGGTGATCGTGTCCTCTTCTTCAAAATCTTTTTTAATGATAAATACCTGTTGGGGGAAGAACAGTTTGGTTTTTGCAGTACGAACATTAAGTCACTCACATTTACTATAGCATATCTATGTCCTAATTTTTTACTGTGTTAATGAGCAACGTAAATCAACACAGACAGTTGTTCCTTCCGGAGTAAATCTCCATACTGACACGATTAGCAGACAGTTTTTCTGTACTATGCTGTGGGGTTTTAACGATGCGTTGCGTCGGCCTGTTTTGCAGCTCTGTAATTAAACTGAAACCACACCACACCAAAGGATAACAGGTAATGTTTAAGAAACACCATATTTGTGAAGTTCCATTGCACACGCGCTTTACTGTGAAGATGAAATTATGCATTCGCAAAAGCCTAGTTCATGTAGATAATGTCTGGTTTTGCCCGAATTTTTGTCGATGCGGCGCCTGGTTGGCGATGAAGGGGGGAGTTTAGAAGTGTCGGGTCCAATCACTATCGCTACAAGGATCAAAGGCTATCCTGGTAGCTTATACTGTGCGCCAACCAGCATTTTGTGTCAGTCCTACTTGAAGTGTGTTAGACTGTGCGTTAGACTGTGAGTCTGCATGAGTAGAAGAATAATGACACGGTCGGTATTAATGCCGGCAACTATTAAACGAACGGCTGGCGACATTTGAGGAGCGTTGATAAATTTCTGCCGTATTTTTATGAAAGTAACCTTAACAAATTAGTGTCATATTTTCACTGTTAGTTATTTAAACCCAGTAATTTTTCTAAAACTGATCGCACTGCAAAAAGCTCTTGCAACACTGCTTGCCAGGAATGGGTTTCAGAACTCATTCAAATAAACATATTCGTAGGTGTTGTGTCATCAATCTTTGTCCCACAATAAGTACATAAAAATCGCCCAATTTTTCCGTTCCTAGGATACTTCATGAGATAAATGGAGTTTTCGGTACCACTGAATTTTGTTTACGGCCATCATTAACATAGACACTTCTATCAAACAAGACAGAAACTATTTTCTTGGAAAATAGATATCATGCACTGTTGATTTTCCCTTCAGTACGATCAACAAAACATGCAAGTTTAATTCCACGCAATTTTTATGCTAATAAATAACTCTTTAAACCTTTAATTGCATCATATCCAGTTAATAGGGTTTTAAAGAGATGGGACTAAAATGTTATTTATTGAAGATATCTCCCGACTCAGAAGCAACTAAAACTACAGTATAAAGTCCAGCCAACAGGTAACAGGAACCAAGAACCAACATATGATATTTCCGTCGCCGGGCAACTGAGAATGACACTGTCGAGACGGTGCAAGCGGTCAATTACCGTGAAGGTAAGTAGAGGTATCCGGGTGGGTAATTGACTACCGATTGCCACTGATTATAAGGGAGAAAATGTCTTAACAAGAGAAAGGACGCAGAAAACACAGGTTTTGCTTCCAAGGAATAGTCCATATGCAGCGGACTATTGAGGTCTCATTTTTCTGTCCTGTTGCACATTATTTTGTCGCACTTAGCTTTTCAATGTGAAATACGGGTGATGTACTTAAGCATGTAAATGCTGTTGTCTTCTGCCAAATGTTTTCCTTGTCTCCACTTCGTTTTTATCCCTGCATATTT